TTTGTTGCAGTGGTGCACTTTTTGGTCTTTACTAGTTAATATATAACTTAGCTATTTACCTATTATGTAATATTTAGTTGCCCTAGATCCAGACTTGAATTTTGAGCACAAAATTGTCAAAAGTTTTTTCAGCTTCTAAATATGCTTCTTTTTCTTTCTTTCTTTCTTTCTTTTCTTTCTTTCTTTTTAAGATTCATTTATTTAAGGGAGAGCGAGTGAGTGCATGCATATGAATGGGAAAAGGGCAGAGGGAGATGGAGAGAAACTGAAGCAGATTCCTCACTGAGTGTGGAACAGACACAAAGCTAGATTTCACAACCCTGAGATCATGACCTGAGCTGAAACCAAGTGTTGGTTGCTTAGGCGACTGTGCCACCCAGTCACCCCCAAGGATGTTTATTTTCAGTATCTTTATTATGTTTTTTCTTTGTCTCTCTTTCTATATACATGTGCATGAAGTGAAGTAGTAAAATGGGTTTAGATTTTAAAAACCCTATGAAACTCACTCTTTCATCTGTGAAATATTTCAATTTATCAATACCAGGAAATATTAATTAGGATAAGAATACAAAAATAAAAGGTGTAAATGCCTAAAATGTTAAGCCCATGACTGCTTCAGTTATATTTAAAAATACCTTTGAAGGGGCACCTGCATGAATCATTTGGTTAAGTGTCCAATTTTTTAGCTCAGATCTTGATCTCAGGGTCATGAGTTCTAGCCCAGTGTGGAGCCTACATAAAATATATATATATGTCTTTGAAGATTCACAAGTAATGAAACCAGTTTTGAATATTTTCTTTCTTATCTCTATACTCCCTCTGCAACATTTCCAAACAAACTGGTGTGTCCAGGGAAGAGATGTATATTCCATCAGCTCTGTTCAGCTCCTACATCTGTAGTTTTATATGCTGCTTTCTCGCTCTATTTCAGGAGTAGTTGCAGTGTGGCACCTGTCAAAGCTGAGCAGATGACCCTACTTCTGTGTGTGGCAGGAATGTAATATGGAGTAACAGGAGGTGCCCCAGAAACCCTGGAGACCCAGGATATGATATGATATCAGTACCTACCTTTGTAAAGTTCATGACAGAAGAATAATGATGTAAGGACTCTAGGTAGAAATGGAGAAGAAAAAAAGAAGAGGGGTTTCTTTTGCCTATGATGTTTGCAAACTTAAAGCAAAAACTATGTTCTACTCTCTTGAAAAATTACATAGTACAAGTCAAAAACATATTTCAGATTTGTACAGGTTTGCTAATATTCAATATTTATTTTAGAAATTACATTAGTATTTAATGGGAAGAAATGGCCCAGGGAGAGTCATTTTTTTTAACTCCAAGATCATTAAGTAACATTTTTAATCTCCCAGGGGAAACAACAACAACAACAACAACAACAAATACCAACATCTATATTGGAAAAATAAATTATGTTAAGAATCAACAGTACTTTGCATTTTCTCTCCGGCATCTCATTAATTTTTAGATATCTCCATGGGCAGGTTATTGCTATTCTATTTTGTTGACATTTAGCATTTATTAAGTGCTCATAGTGACAAAAGTTTATAGAATACGTAAAAGTCTATTCTCAAGGTTCTTATATGCCTTGAAAAGTGGCAAATACACATATACTCTAATTTTTATAATATGTCTGTGCATCCTAAATCACAAGCTATAAAATAGAATGGCATTATTTTCATTTTTTTTTTAAAGATTTTATTTATTTGACAGAGAGAGATCACAAGTAGACGAAGAGGCAGGCGGAGAGGGAGAGAAGGAAGCAGGCTTCCTGCTGAGCAAAGAGCCCGATGCGGGACTCGATCCCAGGACCCTGAGATCATGACCTGAGCCGAAGGCAGCGGCTTAACCCACTGAGCCACCCAGGCGCCCCATTTTTGTTTTGTTTTGTTTTGTTTTTTGTTTTTAAAGAGTTAGCAGGATTAGTCTCATAATCACTATTTCCTAGACTGCTGGGCAAATGAGGAAATCAGTCATGTTTTTCTTTCAAATCTGCTTATTGAAGGATTTAGGGATCTTCTGTATCATATCCCACTATCAGCAGAAGGAGTTAAGAAGATCAGTAAATTATCAGCAATAGATTTACAGGAGCAAACTCCTCAAAGAAATTATTAATTTCCTGGAAAATGGTTTTTTTTTGTTTTTTTGTTTTTTGTTTTTTGTTTTTTTTTGCCTGTGAGCTTTAATAAGCACCATTTAATATTTTGTTTTAAAGTAAACTATAGGGGCAAAAAAATTAAAAATTAAAAAAAAGATAAACTAGGAAGAAAATGGTTTCCATGGGTTAAAAAGTTGTTGCTTTTAAATCACATGAAATAATTTTCCTCTAGATAACCTTTTAAAGAAGTAATAAACCATGCAGATCTGTTATGTTTTAATAAAAGAAATATAAAACAGTAGTGATTACTTGCATTATCAAGAAGTTCATATTTTACTAACTATATCCTTTTGTTATGATGAATTACTAGTTTTTTTTTTTTAAAGGTAAATTTTTTTTTTTAAGATTTTATTTATTTGACAGAGAGAGAGAGAGACATCACAAGTAGGCAGAGAGGCAGGCAGAGAGAGAGGGGGGGAGGAAGCAGGCTTCCTGCAGAGCAGAGAGCCCGGCATGGGGCTCGATCCCAGGACCCTGGGATCACGACCTGAGCCGAAGGCAGAGGCTTTAACCCACCCAGGCGCCCCGAATTACTAGCTTTTTAACAAAAAAAGCTGAGGACCAAGTCATTCTTAACTGACTTCTGCTTTTGATTAAAAAAAAAAAAAAACTGAGGAATTTAGAATATAAAGGAAATTTAATATGTTGACAGTTTCCTAAATTTCAGAGTACACTAATATTTCAAATACACTTAAAAGAAAGTTGCAGGTATACTTTTTTAATCTTCCTAGCACAGGTTTCCATGGTGAATGCTTTTAAAGAGTGCCATCTAGTGTTAACTTTGGAATTGCGATTCATGGATTAGAATATGGGGAATTTTAGACCCAGGATATGTAGAAATCAAACAGCTATAATAGTTAACAAAATTCTTAAGGAATAGGAGTTGAAAACACCTATCAGTTTCACCTCAAGATTGTATATGTTTGCATCTTTAAAATAACTTGTGCGTATTCATGCATTCATTCAACAAATAATTCTTAATTATATATATATATATATATATATGTCTCAGGCCATGTTTATATACATGTTTTATATATATATATATATATATATATATATATATATATATATCGGGCTATGTTTTAGGCATTGTAGTAAACTATTCTCATAGAACATTCTATTTGTGTGTTACCACGGTAAGTGCGAAGAAAAGCCTAGAATAGTGTTTTCAGGGTGGGTAGAGGTGGGGTTTTCAATTTAAGTACAGTAGCCCAGGATCATCTCAGCAAGAAGTTGTTATTTAAATAAATACCTGAAAGAGGTGAGGGTGTGTTCCAGGCACTGGAAACAACTGCAAAAGCTCTGTGGTTGGAATGTACCAAGTATTTTATTTTATTTTAATTTAATTTTTTTTAAGGATTTTATTTATTTGACAGAGAGAGACACATTGAGGGGGGGAACACAAGCAGGGGGAGTGGGATAGGGAGAGGCAGGCTTCCCGCTGAACAGGGAGCCCATTGTGGGACTGGATCCCAGGACGCTGAGATCATGACCTGAGCTGAAGACAGATGCTTAACAACTGAGCCACCCAGGTGCCCCTGTACCTAGTATTTTAGAGGAATAGCAAGCTTCTTTGGCTGGAGCTGTGAGTGATGAGACCAAAGAGATCTTTAGGCCACTGTAGGAGTTTTGTCTTTTCTCTGAATAGAAGGGGAAGATATTTGAGTAGTGACATGATCTTACTCCATTTTTAACAGGATCACTTTGAATACTATGTTGAGAATAGACCAGAGTGGGAGATAGGACAGCAAGCAGAAGATAATTGCTGTAATTCAGAGATAGGTGATGGCAGCTTAGATCACAGTGGGAGCAATGAAGATGATGTGAAATAAGCATTTGGGATATATATTGAAGAGACAAAATAAGTTTTTAATGGATTGGTTATGGAGATGTGAAAGGAAAGAGTAACTAAGAATAACTTGAGATTTTTGGCCTGAGCAGCTAGAAGACGAGGCTCCATTCACTGAGGTGGGGAGGATACATGAGGAGGCAGGTTTGGAGTGTGGGGGTGAGTGATTCTGGATATGTTAACTTGGAGAGATCTCGGTTATCAACATCTAAGTTATGGGGAACTTCAGATATTTTTCTGTTGTGAGTTAGCATGCAATAGCTCATCATATCAAAACCCACTCACCTTAGGAGAATTCATTTCTCACGAGGGAATGAATATATCCTCTCCCCACGGTTATTGTGTTATAGAGTCATAAAAGAGAAGCAGTGTGGGAGGACCAGCATGGCCAAAGCTTCTCCAGACAACTCCTAGTATTTTTGGTTATTTATTTCCCATTTTATTCATCTCTTGTTCTTACCTATAGTGAGACCTCAAAGTACTTGACTGAGAGGGTTCTATTGCTAAGCACCTAAAGTATGCTTATTTAATTTATTTTTTTTTAAAGATTTTATTTATTTATTTGACAGACAAAGATCAAAAGTAGGCAGAGAGTCAGGCAGAGAGAGGGGGTGGTGGGGAAGCAGGCTCCTTGCTAAGCAAGGAGACCAATGCGGGGCTCAATCCCAGGACCCTGAGATCATGACCCGAGCCGAAGGCAGAGGCTTTAACCACTGAGCCACCCAGATGCCCCGAAGTATGCTTATTTTAAAGGAGCTGGGTAAAAATCACCCCAAGACTAGTTAATTGCACCAGGTGGAAATCTTTCTTTTGGAAGCCATTTATTCAGTCCAGGAACAAATTCTTGCAGAATCCTATCACAAATCTTCACTGATTTCTAGAAAAAGTTTTTGAATATTCATCTTTCATTTCAGCTTCTAAGTTACTATATTCTAAGTCTATAATTCATATAATTCACTTCAATTTATGCTGCAGGTGACCCAATGAAAGAAGAAAATGAAAGGCATTAAGAAAAGTCTTACAGAAGAACACCTATACTTGGACTTTTCTCACCAAATAGAAGGATGCATCTGTCCTCTTCATACATCTGTAACTTTGTTTCTATTATCATACTGTGACTGCAAAATCTTTAAAGTTTGCTTAGTCCCCACTGGAGAAAATACAGATATTTCATTAAAAGATGTAGTGCCCCAGGATGTTGAAGTACAAATTATTTCAAGGCAAGAGCTTCCTCCAATAGTCCAGAATTGCTGTTTACCTGCAATAGTAGAAAAACCAGAAAATTTCTGTAGAGCAGGACTTGCTGTTGTACTGAGACACATAATCCAGAGATCATATGAAGCTGACACCTCCAAGAAGGAAATTTTGGAACTTTTGGGTTTTAAGAAGACTTGCTTGAAAGCCTGTGCTGAAGTAAGTATGATGGCTCTTCTGTTACTTAAAGCCATAAAGGGATAACACATTTATTTGAACATCTGTTTTAACCTTCTGTGGGAGAGGAATTAAATCCTGCTTACTTAAAAAATCTCTAGTAAGCAATGAAATAAAGTAGTCCCTCATGTATGCCAGTACTTCAGGTACAGCGTCGAAAAATAAGAATTCAAGATTTATTTTGTGAGGTTTGGAGACACTATTTTTAGAGAATGACTTCTTTTTTTTTTTTAATCCTTTGTTTTAATTGAGAACTTTTTTTTTTTAAGATTTTAATTATTTATTTGTAAGAGAGGGAGAGAGAACAAGCAGGGGGAGCAGCAGGCAGAGGGAGAAACAGGCTCCCCACTGAGCAAGGAGCCTAAATGGGCTTGATCCCAGGATCCTGAGATCATGACCTGAGGTGAAGGCAGACCATTAACCCACTGAGCCACCCAGGCATCCCTTAAGTGAGGACTTTAAAAGGAAATTTTACACATGAATAGGAGCTCAAGTAGCGGTGCATGTACTTCAAAGGCTTTGGGAAGGAAGGATTTATTCAGTAAGAGGATACAAGAGGATAGCATGTATTCCAGGTATAGGATTGCTAAACTGTTGTTTAGTGTTATGTTTAAAGCACTGTAATATGTCCCTTGATAGAACATAAAAACCTAGCCCTGGCATGGCGTGGCTTCAGTGGTCAAAACCAGTCTTATTTCCCGATAGAAAGTTTTCTTCAAGCTACATTGAAAGTAAAGACTCGATTTCTTCTGTTATTTTGTTTTTCAGGTTAGTCAGTGGACCAGGCTATGCGAACTCACCATCCCTTTAGCTATTGAGAATTTTCTTAGAGAATCTTCTGACCAGCACCCATCTATCCCTGCAGAAATACTACAGTTAGAGAAGAAGCTTAGTGAGCCTGTTAGAGTGCATAATGATGACAAACTCCGTAGGCAGAAGCTGAAGCAACAGAAGGCTGCTGGGGTCGGGCCTCCCCTTGCTAAGGAAAAAGCAATGGGCAAGGTGCATAGACAAGAAACATCTCAAGAGTTGGACTCTACATCTGAGAACCTGGAACTGAAAGTTGCATTCTCAAAGCTCACAGTACAGGAAGAACCAGCTGCCACCAACAGGGAGCCTCCTCACATCAGAAAAGCAAAAGCCTCTGACCTCCCACCTCTGGAGCATGTGTTTGCGGAGGGCCTCTACTTCACTTTGGCAGATATCGTACTCTTGCCTTGTATCCATCATTTTTTGGTAAGGTTTATCAGGAACGGATACATTACTAGAAGTTTCAGTCTGTGAAATTGCCTACGTTTGCATCCCTATTCCACTTCTTACTATCATTATGCTCCTGGGCAAGTAATGATTTCCTATCTCGATTTTCCTATCTGTAAAAAAGAGATCATAGTATCTATCCCATTGGATCACTGGGATGAACAAATGACATTTTGTGTGAAGTATGAACAGTGTTTGGCAGTAAGTTCTTAATCTTAGTCATTATTATAACTTTTAATTTTGAAATGCTAAAATTTTGGCAGTTATGATTATTAATTTCAAATTACTCTTGCAATTACCTTCAAGTATTAGAGGCTCTAGTATTAAAACACTAAAAAATTCTTGCCAGCTGTATTTTATAATTAAGTAGACACTTAAAATACTAATTACATTATGTTAGGTATTATTAAATCAGAAATATTTTATCATCGTGTCTGTGCATCTCTGTTCCTTATAAGATTACATTCTGTAGCTGGCTATGCTAGTCAGTGTTGTGGGAGAATATAAATGGAACGTTTTCTTTCTTCCTGTGAGTGTGTGTTTGTATGTGTGTGTATTTTTCCTCCCTGTGGAGGAAAAAAGAACAAGGTAAAAATAATACTAGAGTGAATGTGGGAAGCTATAGCTCTCTGCAGCTTTCCAGTTGGTTTTCAAGAGCTGCATTTTTCTTGCTTTGAAGCATTTCACCCTTTCTCCTAAAAAGGCATCAGATATCAGATTTCATTATGTATCACTAACACTTCAGATATCTCTACTGACAAAATGAAAAATGATTTCTAATGAAAATCTACTTGGAAGCTGGTGGCTCACTAATAAGTTAGGTGGTATTAATCAATTGGCATTTTCTTAAAGAGGATTTCTTTTTTTTTTTCCAAAATAGAGACAAAATAAGATTAGGAACTAAAATAACTTCAGAATTAAAGGATGTGAAAAAGATTTGGGAATTGTTTAGATGTTGATTAGTATTTTAAATGTTGTATGTAGAGAACCCACAGAGCTGGATGGGGAGAAGACATCAACTTTTTTTTTTTCCTAGTCCAGTGATTCTAAATTCTCTTACTCCTGACTTTCCCCTTTATTACCAACTTCAGTCATTACAGCAGTTATTTGATATGTATTATGAAATTCTGTTGGTGTTCATGGCTTCTGGTCTTCTTGGATAACTGTGTTTGTTTTTAATTTTGTAATAATTGAATCAAAGTGGCACATCCACTAATTGATTCATTTGAGAAAGTTGTTGAAAGTCTACTGTATATAGCAGGTACTCTTGTAGGCACTGGAAATAGAGTGATGAACAAAACAAGGCCCCAACCCTCATGGAGTTAATATTCTAGTGGGGGGGGATAGAAATGAACATGTAAACAAGTAAATAATATATATTTACATAATAGCAAGTGGTACAAAGAAGGTAAAACTGTTAGAGAAGATGAGTATCTCCTTGCAAAAGCAACAAAACAAATATAAAATTGGATTTACCAATGTAAATTCAATGGGTTTTGTCAGGCACTTTCCATAACGAAGTGCTGGGCTATTTGCTTAACTTCGCATGAATCTATGTAGTTGATTTTAGATGATTATCCAAACATCCATTTTCAGTTAGTTTGCATTTGATTTTAGCTTAATTTAAATAGTATTCACCTAATTAGGATCACTTGAGGCTGAAGTATTTTTAATTGGGAGGGATTTTTTTTTTTCTCTTCAATCAGGTGGGGGCATCTACTAACTGCTACTACATAAATTTACCTAATACTCACTGAAAAACCTTGTTCTTAGTTTAAAATAGGGGAAAACTTGTATACTCAGCCTTTATTATTACATGTATTCTATGATTAATTTTTCCTCTTTGACATTTATGGTAAACTAATTCTCACAGTATTTTCCTTTGTTTGTATTTTTCTTGGATCTGCATATTTTCTTTCAGGAATTAATCTTTCTTTGCCAAAGTAAGATATTGTTGATATTGTTTCTGTTATGTCTATTTTGCTCCTTTAAGTCATCTTGGCTATGAAGCCATTGTTTGAGTTCAGGTAGTGGCTATGATGCAGAGCATTTATGCTTGCATTAATTAACACACATTGAGGTGATGGAGTGGTGATCCAAATGGTCACACTTAGGATCAAGTTCACGATCAGGAAGGAAATTCAGGTTACTACTAGGTTGGGATCAGAAACATAGAGCCGACCCTAGAGCAAGGATATTTGGCTACAGGAATAAGGCCAACAATATAAAAGGACAGTCAATTTTGCAAAGTCAAGGTTTGGAATACCAGAAGTCAAAATTAGAAGAGTTAGAGAAAATATACAGTTGTGCTAAACAAAAGAAAGCCAAAGATGCAAAAACAATAGTAGATAGAATAGCCAAGTTACTGTGTCTAAACTTGCTTCATGCTTTTCTTCCTTTTTAGTGGTTAACCCAATAGCACCCATGGAAGGCGTCTGATAAAACCCACTCTGGGAAGTTTCAGGAACAGACTTTAAAAAGAATAGATTAAAATGCACACCTCTTATGATTTCCATTTTTTAAGTCATTTGCAAGCATCTTCTAGTAGTTACTATAGCAAGCATATGGGAGAAACAGCAATGAATAGCTGTACTCAGGCACAATCCTGATGTTCCCTGATACCAGAAAATTGTATAGTTATAATAAGTTGCTACTAGTAAGCGAGTATACTTTGATAAGACTATTTAAAAAATTATTCTACTCCCTTAAAACAAAATTTGCCATTTTATAAAATATTTTTGTAATTTGAACTCTTAGGATTTAACTTTTTACATGTTAACTTCTAATGCTTCGAATTGCGTTTTTAAAAAGTATGATACATTTATTGCTTAAGTAAAATTATTGTAGAAATTGATTTTTAAGCAAAAGTACCTATGTTAAATGTCTCTTTCACTTTCCCTGTTGTCATAAAATTAGGAATAAAATGGGAATCTCACTATTGCCTGGCACAAACTATGGATGCCACTTATTTAGTCGTTAATTTGTATATTCCATATCCTCTCCTATGCATTAGGTCCTCAAGAGTTTTCAGTTTTAACCAGCCAGTTCTAATCTATAAGTAAAAAATGAAAAATTGGGATTATATTTCCATCCAGTTGACTGCTTACACTGCTCACCTTAACATCTGTTAGTTATGACCTATTTTCAAAAGAGTAAACATGACTAAGGAAGTGACATAAAGTAAATACAAAACATTTTATATAATAAATGATTAGAAGGTGATGCAGAGGAGGAGATATTTTGGATAAATGTAACATCTTGCTTCTCTCCAGGCAAGTTTTACTGACCCTTATTCCATTAACTACAAAACCATTAGGGTTTCATTTTATGCTCTTGGTAGAAGCAGTTTTTTATCATTGTTTAAGAATAAATAATCTTATTTTCTTGTCTCTAAGTAACTGATATTTATAATGATTTTGATCTTATCAGGCAGGTAACTTTTTAAAAAATCATTTCTTAGGAGCAAATATAATTTGCATCTCACCCATTTTTCATTAGCCACTTCCTTAAATTTATCTTCTTGAGTGTAATGAATGTGGTTCAGTACCTCCTGAGCTGTCTGGATATTAGCAGAGCAGCCTGGCATGTTGATTAAATGGGATGACCTGTCATGCGGTGTAAACTCCCTGATTTCTCTTAAACATGAATTATTGTTGCTCAATCAGAACTTATTTTCCAGTAGAAGGAAAGATGCCATATGCGTTTAACAAATAAGACTAAAGCACTACCAAGAGGAGGACAAGAAAGGTGAAGAAATTAGAATATTTCTTATTTGATTAATTTATCATGACTTAAGCTCAGTTCCCTTATCACATAAGCTATTTCCAGGCAATTAAGAATTTTGGCAAGGGGATGCCTGGGTGGCCCAGTCCTTTAAGCATCAGACTTGTGATTTCAGCTCAGGTCACAATGTCAGGGTCATAAGATCAAGCCCTGCCTTGGGTTCATGCTGGGCACGGAGACTGCTTAAGATTCTCTCTCTGTCTCAGTAAAGAAGGAAGGAGGGGAGGGAGGGAGGGAGGATGAATTAATGAATTTTGGCGAGAATTATAAACTGATTCCCAGAGTACCATTTAGACAGTATATTTCAAACTCTTTTACTTTAACTCACAGTAAATAATGCATCTTACAGGTGATTGAGCATACTTACACAAATATCTTGTATACATTAAATGTATTATAAAGCAACCCACCTTACTACATGCTGCATACTCTTGTATTTTTCCATTTTATGCCATTTTTGAAACTATGTTAATTTCACAACTTTCTCACAGTTCATAAACCGTTGTTTGAAAAACACTAATTGAGATTATTCTTTGAAGCTAATAAATAGTTCCTTGATCATTTGTTCACTCAACAGAATATTATTTGTAAGGTGGTGTTTTAAGTGCTTGCTTTATGCAAAAACAGTTGGACATAAACCTTGCTCTTACAAGTACTTGTGCTTATTTAAAGGCCAGTTAAAATAGACTAAAATATATGTGCATGTTTATTTTTCATTAATTTTCTGTCTTTTCTGGCTTCTGCTTTGGTACTGATTATTATTAGATATATTTGTCAAGATTTTCTTGATTTGACCTTTTTATTTATCTATTTGTTCATAATCACCAGTCATAATTTGTTGGCGACATTATTACTGTCTCTGTGGAAACAACATTCAGTGCCTCAAAAAGAGGCAAGAACATTCTAATTTTTAAAGAAATTTAAGTTTGGTGGTGATGGTAGGGAGAAAGTATCTGGCCAAGAGAAAACAAAAAGATAATTTAAATCAGGAGTAATGGCTTCACATTTTCTAATTTGAATAAAAAGCCTTCCTTTAAGTGCTGTGTTATAAAAAATTCCCTCTAACTGACTCTAGTTATCTTTTCACTTCTAAATACTATAATTGTATCTTTTATCTTTTTACTATTTTACTTCAGTGAAATCTCCTCCTTATTCCATCAAGCCTATTTTAAAAATATGGTTCTGAGATTGTTTCTTACATTACTTTTAGGTAATACTGATTTGATTCTGTGTTAGATTTCATACATTCAGGGAAGAAGGCTTCACAAAAGGGAAAAAAAAGAAAGAATTTCAGAGCACTATTAAAATAAGAGTACAGCCTCTCCATTTCTCTCATTCCCACATTTCCCTAGTGAGTATATAACTTCCACTGAGATTCCTCAAAATATACCAGTGACTGTAGACTCTATATAGATATCAAATTATAATCATTTAAAAATACCACATAACATACTTTGAGGAAATCAACCCTTCAACTAATTTAATTCTTTCCCCATTAACCACTTAAACTCATGTTCATAAATAAGTACATATTAAGTATTTGAGGTTTTTGACTAAGCAGTGTCCATTTACTCTCCATTGACCCATTTACTCTCTATATTCAGTGCGTTGAGAACTTTGAAATATAATGAGGGTCAGGGACAGTGGAATGTGTTCTTGCCCATGAGTTTTTTTTTAAGATTTTATTTATTTATTTGACAGAGATTACAAGTAGGCAGAGAGGCAGGCAGAGAGAGAGGGGGAAGCAGGCTCCCCACCAAGCAGAGAGCCCAATGTGGGGTTCTCACCCAGGACCCTGAGATCATGACCTGAGCTGAAGGCAGAGGCTTAACCCACTGAACCACCCAGGTGCCCTGCCCATGAGTTATTGATGAAGGGGTTTCTAGATTTGAACGAAGTTGACTAAGGAAGAATTTTTAGAGGGGCATAAAAATATACTAACAATGAAAGATGATAGAAACTGGAATGCAAGGTATAAAATTTTCAAAAATGATTTTCAATTATAGGATATATAGTCATGTTATTTCTATTATCTTAGAATAATCTATGCATATTTTTTGCCCTTTTTCCTCTAAATATTATTCTTTTCCATTTTAGATATATATGTAAATATATAAATATATATAAGATATATAATAATAAATAATATATAAGTAAAAAATAAAATTATATATAAATATATAATATAAAATATTTTATATATTTATATATATTGGGGGGCTTGTAGTATAGTCAGTATGTGAGTACATTTTTAGTTTGTGCATATGTAATATTTATTATTCTTCAAATAATTCACAAATACCTTTTGGGCCTTGATTATTGCTAAGACATTAGTCCCTTGTCAGTCTTATTTAAATAGTATATTTTGATTTTAAAAATTTCTTTAAAAGATAGACTTGTTTACAATAATTCTAGATTTATAGTAAAGTTGAGCAGAAAGTACAGAGAGTTCCCAGATACCTCCTGTCCCCACCTATACAGTTTCCTCTACCATCAACACCCTGCACCAGACTGGTACATTTATTACAACTCATAAACTTCCATTAACGCATTACTATAACCCGAACCATAGTTTATATTAGGGTTGACTCTTTGGGCTATGCGTTTAGTGGGACGAGCAGTGAATGAGAGTTCCCGTTGCTCCACATCCTTGCCAGCTTTTGCTGTTGTCAGGGTTTTGCATTTTCACCCTTCTGTTAGGTGTATAATGGTGTCTCCTTGTTGTAACTTGCAATTCTTTAATGATATAAGGTGACGAACGTTTTCTCATACATTTATTTGCCAACTATGTATCTTTGTTGTCATATATATAACTGCCAACTACATAATTCTGAGGTGTCTTTTCAGATCTTTTGCCCATCTTTTTAATTGGTTGTTTGTTTTCTTGTTGAGTTGCCCAATTTATATATTGTGAAATGAATACTAAAAGTATAGGAAACATTTCACTAAAGAAGATATTTGAATGGCAAATCAGTACATGATGCTAAACATCATTAGTCACAGGGAAATACAAATCAAAATCATAGTGAGATACTACCACACATCCAGTAGAATAGTTCGAATAAAAAAGACTGACAATACCAGTCATTGGCAAGATTTGGAGAAACTGGGACATTTTCTAGTGGGGATATAAAATGGTACAACCATCAGAGAGAGGAGTTAGGCAGTTTCTTTAAAACCGAAGCACACCATTTCCATGCAGCCTAGCAACTTGGCTCCTAGTATCTACTCCTAAGAAATGAAAAACATTCACGCACAAACACTGATGCATTAGTTCATACAGCAATATCATTTATAATGATCAAAAACTGAAAACAATGCAAATGTCCATCAACTACTAAATGGATAAGCAAACTATATTATTCCATGCAATAACTACTACTTATAATGAAAAGAAACAAACTACTGGGGCGCCTGGAGCGCTCAGAGCGTTAAGCCTCTGCCTTCGGCTCAGCTCATGATCTCAGGGTCCCAGGATCAAGCCCCACATCTGGCTCTCTGCTCCGCGGGGAGCCTGCTTCCCCCCACTTCTCTCTCTGCCTGCCTCTCTGCCTACTGGTGATTTCTGTCAAATAAATAAATAAAATCTTAAAAAAAAAAAAGGGAAACAAACTACTGATAAATGCAACTACATGATGAACCTCAGAAACTTAATGCTGAGTGAAAAAAGACAAATTTTATGATTCCATTTATATGAAATACTAGAGAAGGCAAATCACATGGAAACCAAATCAGTGGTTGCTTGCAACTAACTGGGGAAGCAGAGATTGACTGCAGGTGGTCACAATGGAAGCTTTTGGTGTGATATAAGTGTTCTAATACTGGATTGTGGTGGTAGTTACATAACCGTATGAATCTGCTAAAACTCACTGTATGAACCGTACAATTAAAATGTGTGAATTTTATGGTATGTAAAGGTACCTCGATGGCTATTATAAAAGACAGTATGTAATAGTATGTTTTGTTCTTTGCCTGCCTAGGTAATTATCTGCAAGAAAGTTTCTGAAAAGCTGATAGAATTTCCACTGTTGGCTGCTTGGTACCAGAGGATTCAGGAAGTGCCAAGAGTAAAAACAGCAGCTTCTCAGTGTGGAATCCAATTTCTCCGTTTACCAGAGTTGCTGACCACCTCAAACGAACAAGATTCGAACTTAAGTGAGGTCGCAGATGTAGAGGAACAAAATGATGCTTCATTTATAGGAGGACCAAGGCCCACTATGACCAAGTTAATGGTACTTAAAATGTTTTTCTGAAAATTTTCTTTGAAAAATTTCATGTGATAATGTTGTTGAGCATTCTACCGCAACTTGTAATCATTTATGCACATTATTTTTGTTTTAAATTTTATTTGTAACTCTTTTATAACACTCTTACCTAATTAATATTTCTATGTCTTTTGTATATAAATGAGGTATAGTAAATTGAAGATTTTTATTAGTATATGTCTTTGGAGTCAAAACTTTTTTTTTCTTAATATTCAAGACATTGGCTAAGGTCATATCACATTTGGTCAAATTGTTCTAACCTGATTTTTTTGTTGCAAGGTTTTGGTCTCAGTTTTTAAGTTTTGAGATGATGATTTGAAGTTAAAGATTATGAAAATGAATATCTCAATTTACTTTCCAAGGTTTTGTCTAAATTTAAGATTTTTAGTTCTTTGAATTTTGTTTTTACTTTCTTATTTTAATGCCTTTTTATGTAACACATAGGATTTTTTTTTCTCTCTTTGCAGCAAGATTTGTTTCTGATAATACTAATTGTAGAAATTTTCCCAATAGGCTTTATTTTCTCTACGATTCTAAACAATTTACAAAAATGTTTTGCTTTTAACTTCAACTACTTAAATATTTATTTAAATAGAGGAAAAATCAGGAAGTAATTTGAGCTATTCATCTGAGTCATACTGGAAAAATATTCATTATATTTCCCTACTTGAGTTAGGAAGTATTTGAGTTCTGTGGTTAACAGGAAGTTTGGTGAATTAGAAAAGCACAAGATGTTTGTAGTGATATCATCCCCTTATCTCATTATTTAAGCTTTGTTAGTCTAGTGATGAAACAATGAAATAGGATTTTATAGTTGATTTTAGAAGAAGGTACCAAGGCATGTCCAAATCTTGATCAGATGACTATACTGTGTAGGGATTTCAGTTTCACCTCTTGAATTTTTCTAAATAAATAATAATCAATAGAATAATTTTTTTTTGCATTAAAATACTAATTTTCAAAATTTCAACTAAAAATCTGCTTTTAATTCATACTTACACAGTCTTGAAAGAAAATTAGTGATTCAAATTTTTCTACCTATGTTTTTCTAGCAATAAAATGAAATTAGGAAAAACATTTGTATTTTATACATATTAAAAATATTGGGGTGCCTGGGTGGCTCAGTGGGTTAAAGCCTCTGCCTTCGGCTCAGGTCATGATCCCAGGGTCCTGGGATCGAGCCCCACATCGGGATCTCTGCTCAGCAGGGAGCCTGCTTCCCTTCCTCTCCCTCTCTGCCTGCCTCTGTGCCTACATATGATCTCTGTCAAATAAATAAATTAAATCTTTAAAAAAATAAATAAATAAAAATATTTATATACAATGAGAAATCAATAACAAATTTGAATTCAGGAAAAGTTAACAATTATAAAAATAACCTGTCTTGTAATAACATAAAAAATAAAATGTCCTGAATTTTTAATTACAGGGGATGTGTTAGTTCAGGTCCCTCAAACAAACCCAAGATGGGGTTGGATATGCAAGAGGTCTACTGAGGGAAATCTGTGAGGTAAAGTGGGGAGGGAGACAGAGGCAGCTGCAAGAGCCTTCAGTCTATGATGCAGGTTTGACCTCTGTGCATGAGACAGGGAAGGAAGGATGATAGGGTTAGAAAAGCTTTAGACATCATTGCAGGTCTAAGAAAGTTTTGGCAAGTCAGTGGGGAATCCTTGAGACTAAATCATCTGTCAGAGAGTTCCATGTTTCTGAGGAATAGGCCTGCCATGGTATCTCAGCCACTCTCGGGCATTTGCTTGGGAGCAGCCCATACGAAGACTACTAGGGTCCAGGAGACTTGGATTCTATTCCCAGCTTTGTAGCTAAGCAAACATTGTGACCTTCAGTATGTTGTTTAACCAAAGGGTCTTCATTTCTCAATTTATAAATTAGGAGAGTATAGTAGATATTTTGTACGATCCTTTTCTGATTTCAAATCTCATGATTATATAAAAAATGGGACATTACATTAACAATTTTTTTAAAAGGCTCAAATCTGAAAATAAGTTAAAATTTCTATTTTCATTTAATTCTAACTTGAAAGTACATATTAGATACAATAAATGTTTCTTTTTAGCAGGACATTATTTTTGCTACTTATTAGTGAATTATTGACATTTGTTTGGAAAATTAGTAAGTATTATATCAAAATAATAAATTATATGAAGGTAACAGTAACTATTAATTTTTGTGTAGTCATAGTATTTTGTGCCAATTACATAAGGACAAATGAAATTGGTGCCAAGTGGAAGTATCAAATAGTGAAGTATTAGGAGCATTCACATCTCACTTTTTTTCTCCCTTTTGTTTACTTTGGCATACACTTGCCCCTAAAATTTCCCTTATTCTCCAAAGGTTTTAGATTTATTTATTTAGTCCAAAAAATGTATGTTTAGTCATTATTTTGAATGTGGGATATCTGAAGAACAAATTGGACTACCTTCATGGGCCTTATATTCTGGTGGGGGAGGTAAATAAAAAACATGAATGTGTTAACACATTAGGTAATGATAAGTGCAACAAAAAGTAATATGGGGAAAGGGGTGGAGGTTATGTGCGTTGGCGGGAAGCTTATCTGACTAGGTGAAGACATTGAGCAAATGACCTAAATAAACTGAAGATTTGGAGGAAGTGTTCTAGGCAGAGGGTCCAGTGAGTGAATAAAACCTGAGCAAATCTATAGAGACAGAGGGTAGATTAGTAGTTACCTAGGGCAAGGAGCTGAGGGGGGGAAATAGAGAGTATATTTACTAATGGATATGGGACTTCTTTTTGAGATGATGAAAATATTTTCAAATTAGCGTTCATTGTGGCACAGCTGTGAATATAAAAACTTTTGAATTGTATGCTTTAAATGTAATGGTGTGTGAGTGATATATAGTATTTTTTTTTAAGATTTTATTTATTTATCTGACAGAGAGAGATCACAAGTAGGCAGAGAGGCAGGCAGAGAGAGAGGAGGAAGCAGGCTCCCTGCCGAGCAGAGAGCCCGATGCGGGGCTCGATCCCAGGACCCCGAGATCATGACCTGAGCCGAAGGCAGCGGCTTAACCCACTGAGCCACCCAGGCGCCCCGATATATAGTATTTTTGAAAAGACCCTAAGGTATGATTAAATTTGGTGAAATGAGGGAGAGCAAGTTTAGTATGGCTAGGCTAGAATGAGGGGGAATAGAATAGAATAGCAGTAGATGATGTCAGAGAGATGTGTATTTTTCTGGAAGCAAGTAAGTGCTCTAGACCTCTAGACATAAAGATATCTCTACCTCAACAAAAAACTTTATACTACTTCCTTTTCATAATTTTTAGAGTAATCTCATGAACTTATTGATTCAAATTAGTGATTGATTCTTGGAGATTTTTCTTTCAGATAGGATATTTCTAAAGATAAAAAACCTGAACTATGGATACCTATCTGTGGGCTATGTACCCAGAATGTGATTACAAGGGGTCTGGGAATCTGTATGTATGCCACACACTGTCTACAGTTACATAAATGCAGTATGTCTGCAGTTAAATAAATATACAACTTTTGACATAGGGAAGGAGCTTGAGATTTTTTTATATATTGAAAAGTGGTCCTCATTTCTTAAAATGTTGGGAACCATTTGGTTAGAACAGAGGAATCCATTTTTAGAGGCATTACAAGCCTCTCTAGTATGAATGATGTTTTGGGGTGTTATGTTGAAATGGGGCTTTTCATCCTATAAATGTAACTCCTAGACTGTAACTATTTCATATATGTAAAGACAGATCTTGATGGATATATGGAATCAGTTTTTTATTATCCCTGTGTGGAATTTTTTGATAAAATTTTTATCTTCAGGTTGACTTTTCTTTTTGACACCCGATTTATTTTGAAGAGTAGGTATATTTATTTCCATGTAGTTTTAGGCAATAATTTAAAAATAGCATTTTTTGTTACCTTGGTATAAAAAAAACAGGAAAGTAATTGTTCTATCTAAAAACACATTGTATTTCTTATGTAACTTAATATTTTGAGGAACATCTAATGATTGTTAATATTTATTTCCTTCTTGCCACTATATAAAAGAGAAATTTGGCCTTCTAAAACATAACAGGATTTTACTAATTCATTAATTTTAAAGAGTCTATTTCCTATTTCCTATTTCTAGGAAAAAGGCATTGAAGTGATGTTTTCCCCCCACCCTTGCCCTACTTGGACCCTTGATTGGAATAGTCTTCCTGCAGCAGTGAGCCCTAAGGAAGGTGAGTTTTTTGTTGTTGTGTGGTTTTTTGTTTTTGTTTTTTTTTTCCTTCCTTCAAGTTTTAATCTTAGTCCCAATACCCTCTTCAGATCCATCTTCCAATTCTCTAATTCTCTCTTTCGCTTTATCTAATATTCTGATTGTACTATCCACTGAGTTTTCTTTCCCCCCCTAATTATTTCTCTCTCTCTTTTTTTAAGTTTTTGTTTTAATTCCAGCTGGTTAACATATAGTACTATGTTAGTTTCAGGTGTACATTTTAGTGATTCAACAATTCCATACATCACCCTGTGCTCATCACTACAAGTGTACTCCTTAATCCCCATCACCTATTTAACCCGTCCCCCAACTCTCCTTCCCTCTGGTAACCAACAGTTCTCGATACTTAAGAATGTTTTTCTTGATTTGTCTCTCTCTCTTTCTCTTATTTTTCCCTTTTGCATGTTTGTTTCTTTAATTTCCTGTGAGGTTTTCCTTACATTTTTATTATAAAAAGTTCACATATACACATTGCTCAGATTCAACATTTCTCACATTTTCCTACAATTGTGTAATCTATTCCTTTTTATTTCTTTCAAAGTATTTTGAAGGAAATTCCAGACAACATGCCATACTCTAGTATGTACATCTAAGAAATACGGCCATTCTAAATAATTGCCATGTCATTATCACACCTAATAAAAATTAACAAAAATTCCTTGATCCTTTAATAAGCAGTACATAATCGTTTTCCCCTGTTTAAAGTATTGATTGAAAAAGGTATTTTTATAATTAGGTTTTTAGTTAAATAATTGTGTTTTTTATTGCTAGAAATTTTATTTGGGTTGTTTGTTTTAATAATGACTTTTTCCTTGCTCATGTTATAATTTCCTCTTTTCGTAATTTTTTAAGCATAGTTATTTTATATTCTGTATCTGTTATATAATAGCTGATGTCCACAGAGATCTAATTTTGCTCTTTGTTTTTTCTGTTGACTTCATTCTTGGTGTCTTATTTAGTAATTATATATTTTGAATTCATTTAAGGGCTAATTAAATCTGTGGGAATCTTGTGGGGCATGAGTTAGGAATAAGTTTCTTTAGTAAGGATTTATATTTGCTTATGCTAGGCATCTCAAGGTACTAGAATTTAAGACCTGTTAGCATTATATTTTCAGCTTGAGATTCCTTTAACCTTTTCATCTGGAGCTGAGGTTTAAACAGAAAAGTTATATCATCTCCCTTTGCTATTGAGTATGACTTTTTTTTTTAATGCATCTTTTCATGGGGAATATAGCTTTTCAAGGTTTCTACTTTCATGTAGTGATAATAGTTCCAGCACTCCACAATGATAGGGATCCAGGACTAGCCTCTCTTCTTTGTCTTGCCATTAAAGCTCAGATCCCTATTAGCAAAATACCCTCCTGGCAGCTGGTGTCAGTTCAAGATTATTACACGACTTTTTAGTTCTTTTCCCCTTTGTTAAGCCCATATGGATTTTCCTTACTCTTGGAAATCCATTTAGGTAGGCAAAAGATGACTGTTCAGTTTTATATAGCATTTTAAGTGTTTTTAGGTGGAGAGCATTTTTATTACTCAATGTTCCACTTCTTTAATTATTTGCTTATTCTTTGGTTTTATACCATGCCAAATTAAACTTTTGATTTCCAAATGCTCTTTGAAATTGTTTGCCTGCCTTTTTGATGTTCTTCTCCTCTGTGATGCTTCCTAAGTATTGTCTCTGTCTCACTCATCAATTTAGTCTGTCAATCAAGCAAATAATTTAGGATTTTTCCAGAATGGAGTAAGATTTTTATCAGACAATTAAGAACTCTGCCTCAAAGATGTTTTATAACAATTAAATTCATTTTTTGGTCTTTGTTAAATATATGAAACATAGTCACTAATGAATTTGTTAATGTTTTAATTTTAAATATTTTCTGACATTTTGAAAATTTTAAATGTTTGTTTTTATTGTCCTTGCAAGACTCTGGTTATGGTAGATTTTAGACAGGTTAAAACTATAGTAAATGAAAATCAGATTTTCATTAATATTTATATTTACTAGAAATGAATACAGAGATTTGTAAGAGCCACATGTTTTGCTTTACTCATTATTAATTTACTATGAAGCCAAAATAATATTTTCAGTTATTAATTGAGTAATCAATTACATCTGCTACCAACTCAGAGATCTAACATTAAGCATTCATGACTGGTCGTTTTACTGGTTAGAACTGCATATCTAACAGAGTTCATGGAATATATTATTCATTATATCCCTTTAATTGGATCACCTAGTTTTCATAAATATTATGACAAACAAGGAGCTATAACAGCAGAGCTACATGATTTATTTACGTTTCATTCTCGGTTCTTAAAAAAAGGTTTATATATAGTCTGTGTTAAACTAAGGCAGAATTTTTGCTTGTAGATGTTGTTTTCAGTTCTGGCAATTTCAATATTGCCCGGTAAAAGGATAGCTATGAGATGCAATTATTATACATACAGGTGTGGAGGTCACTGTGAAAGTGTTCTCATGATTTGTGTTCTGGTAATTTTAGAAGAGAGAGAATTGTAATACGATTTTATTAGTACTAGGTTCATTTGGATGTCACAAAGGCTGACTCCTTATGTGGAATCCATTGAGTTACATCAAGATTATGGTACATATAATACAAATCATTCTCTTTACTAACAAAGGCTATATTGATCCGCATGATGGACGCTTATTTCTTAAGCTTGTCTAATCTCCCAACCTCTGTTATTACCCATTTCTCTCCCCACATCCTACATACTACTCCCTGAACTTTTCAGGTTCCTTCATGTGACCTGTATCTATTATTTCTATTCCTCACTTTTATTTTCCTCCAGCCTTAAATGTTATTCGTTCTACTTCCCATCCTGTTGAATTTATACTCATCTTCTAAGGATCAGCTCAATTTGAATTGAATTTGAATTGAGGGGCAACTGCCTTTGGCTCAGGTCATGATCCTAGAGTCCCAGGATTGAGTCCTGCATTGGACTCCCTGCCTCAGCAGGGATTCTGGTTCTCCCTCTGCCCCTCTTCCCTCCCATGCTCTCTCTCTTTTTCTCTCATTCTCTCTCTCTCAAATAAATAAATAAAACCTTTAAAAAGAATTCATTCAAAATGAGACTATAGATCCTTTTAGTTAACTTCTCAAATTTCTAGTTAAACCAGGCAACTTTGAATTCTTTTGTCTCATATAGATTTAACTAACATAATCATTATTACTATTGTCATTACTACTACTACTACTACTACTACTACTACTACTACTACTACTACTGTTATTCTAGTTTATGGACTGTTTGGGAATAAGTTGCAAACATTATGCCTCTTTACGCTACTTTACCTCCAAGAACTAAACTGTCTGCTTTATGGACAAAGACATTTCCTTAGTCCTTTTCTCACAGCCGTAGTACAATTATCAAAACAGGCTATGTAATTCAGTACATACTATTATCTAATCCACAGTCCAGTTGATTGTAGTTCATTTAATTGTCATGTCACTTTAGTCTCCTTTCATGTAAATTGATTTCTTAGCCTTTGTCTTTCAAGATGGACTGTTTGGAAGATTTCAGGCCAGTTTTTTGTAGAACTGTTAGGGTCTGTGATCAAAGGAGTAAGACTGATACAAAGCGAAGGTCAAGCAAAACTTTATTTCGCGCCAAGCATCGAGGATCAAACTGACTGGTCGGGGCTGCCTCTTACAGAGAGAGCGACCCCTCCCAGCCTCACAGACTAACTTTTATAGAGCAAAGGCCATGTGGTTGAGCCTGGCCACACACAGGTGGCCAATGAGATTGTAACACACAGAGAAAGTTGCATAGTTATGCTAGGTCACACACGGGTGGCCAATCGAATTATAATTCACCCTATAGTAGCTATTTGAACTAGCCTATCACCTTGGTCAGAATTGGCGCCCAAAAGGCGGGGCCCACATTCTTTAGGGAGATAGAAATTGGATGTCTCCACCTGGCCTGACTCATCCTTGCATTTGGGCTCTGTTATCTCCACCTGACCTGACCTGTCCTTGTATTTGGGCTCTGTTATCAGGGACTGGCCAACCATACTTTACTGGTTTCCCAGACTTGCTTCTAAGTAAGTTCCTCTGGGGGTGGGGGGGCAGGGTCAGTTTAAGTTTTACTGCATAAACAACAAAATCACTGTTTAATCGAGATGGAATCGCTCTGGCTAAATAGGCCCTGACAAGAACATTTCTCAGTTTCTATTTGTCTAGTTTCCTCATGCTTAGATTCAAGTTATGCATTTTGGCAGAAACACCACCAAGGTGAAGTTGTTGCCTTCTCAGTGAGTCATAAGAGATGGCACCTTCCACCAGTTTGGGCCCAGTGATGTTAACTTTAATCATTTGGTTAAGGTGGTATCTGCCAAGTGTTTGTACTGTAATGTTAGTGTTTTGCTCTACTGAATTAATAAGTATTTTGTGGGGAGATATTTGAGACTACATAATGTCTTGTTTTCAAAATGTCACTAACTAGTTTACATTCATTTGATACTTCTTGCCTGTGTTAGTTATAGAATGGGGATTTTTCAGCTCTATCATTCTTCTATATGTATTAGTTGCCACGCTACTGTAGGAATGTTTTTCCCATCTATCATCTATGTATCAGTATTGATTCAGGAATTATTTTATTAAGTAAGTTATAATCCATCACTGTTGTTATTTATTTCAGTACTCAGGTTGTCCCAGGTTGTGAGTCTCTTCAAGCTGGCTCCTGATCCTTTGGAACTAGCCTTATCTTTCTGTGTATAGATCTATGAGGAAATAGATGTACATACACACACACATGTACATAATCACATCGCTGCCTACTGTTCTGTTTGTATATCTGTGTTATCTATCTGTATTAAAAAGTGGTGAGATGTGTGCCAGGGTGTTCAGTCAGTTAAGCATTTCTCTTCATCTCAGATCATGATCCCAGGGCCCTGGGATCAAGCCCTGCATTGGACTGTCTGCTCAGGAGGGTCTGCTTC